TCTCCAAACCTAGGGACAGAAACATCTGTGAGCTCAACCGCCTCGTCAGACAAAGCTGGGTGACGCGGGCACCCTCTCGGGTTGGTTCTGCTTACGTCTCTCGTTCTCCTCGGCGCTGTCCGAGCTCTCTTCCCTCGTCTGGATCCCCATGGGGCTGGAAGAAGAGCTGGAGTACTCGGAGGAGCTGCCCTCCCGGGGCAGGGGGTGGGCTGGCTGATCCACATCCACTCGCAGCTCTGCAGACAAAGGGGGCGCGAGCCGTTAGTGCAAGCGAGAGCGGGAAACCCTACTTGCCAGGACTTAATTACAACTGTTTAATGACCCTGTCTGACAGACAGCGACGCTCAAGATTTAGAGACACGCACTGGCTGAGCAGCAGGAGTCTGGAGGCGGAATGGTCGCTGGCGGGTGCAGCGAACCCAAGAAACCAAGAAGAGGAAAACAACTTTTTATTGCACTCCATATACACAGGAATAGGACTTTTTGACTGCTCCTTATGAAGCCAATGACATTTTAGGAGATAAAGCTTAAGCCAGGTGAAAAAGCAGTGTAAGAACGAGCTTGCGCAAGGACATCCTCAGCCTCGAGAGCAGAGCAGCATCCTTGGCTCCTCTTGCTTACCTGCGGCGTGGTTGCCACGGATACTCTGGATAGGCCCCACGTGCGTCGTAGGGGGAACCCTCGCCACACCGCTGCTCGTAACTGAAGAAGGTGTTGCGGGGTTTAGGCACCGTTTCTCCGATTTTTCTCTACGAGGCATAAAAAGAGAGAATCTGGCTAAAGTGCAACAGCAGATAAATCCATTTCTGAAGGAAACCGAAGTGGACAACGCCCGCTAAACAATCCACTAAATGTTCTGCTAACTTAAAACAGAAACATTTTGGGAATTGCATCAATCTTGACCGTAGCTCCTTGCCAGCAGTTACTTTTGGACTATTCACCAAATTGATTACAAAAATAATGCTCCTATTCGCACAAGGTAAAACCATCAAATGGTGACTCAATTCCATCACGCACTACAGAAGCGCATCCCAAACCTAGACGTGCACACCAAAACCAGAGAGAAGTCAAAAGCAGCCCAAAGTTTTCATTTTGCAAACACATCTGGAAAAAACTAAGACGGATGACAAACGCTGTCGAGGAGCTCCGACAGATGAGCACGGGTTTGGATTTTTTAATTGCTTTTTAATTTACTGCAGGAGCTTCAGATTAAACATTTCCCTCTTAAGTGGAGATATAAAAAATACGACAGTCTGTTGCACGAGTTTCCCCAAAGGGCTATTCATATTGCACAGAGCCTTTTTTATAGAAAACTTTTTTATAGAAAACTTCATCACGTGTGCAACTCCTCCAGCTCGGTGGCTCGCCCGCCTGGTGCCCTCCTACCCTGTGCATCTCCGGTGGGTGCTAAGCCCCAAAAATCTCAACGGGTTTTGCCCACCTGCCCAATCGCAGACGTTTAAAGCAATGTTTAAAGAAATGTCCTCCTCTATAGAAGAGCCGTGGATGTGACAGGTGAATGCGGGCGCTGCGTTACGCCCGGGTTGCCGTATCCTATTAAAAAGGGAGTTCACAAATCCTTTACGTTTGCTTATCCTTGCTTACCCACAACCCTGAACCGGCAGCAGCAAGCCAGGAAATACTAAATATTCTCTACTAAGCCCCCTCCTTCCAGAGCTTTTCAAAGTAACCAGCACAGCTGCAGAGGAAGGGAGATGAGCATCACCCATCGTGTTTGTGGTCTGGGAAGCAAAGTCCGTTGTAAAACTTGCATCAAGTATCTCATGACCTTAAAAAGACAATTAATTGTCCTCCCTTCCACTTACTTTTCCAGCTCTAGCTGAGTCTTAAGCTTCTTCTTTGCTCCCATGGTGAGGGATTCAAACTTGTTCAGATCTTCCTCAGTGAGACTCAGAAACTTGGAGAGAAAAAAATGTGTGCTGAGTTTTACAGCCTGAAATATTCTTAGTTACATTTTCAGTAGAGATCAGGTCTGAAAGGCAACTTTCAAGCCATTTTTTAACATATATTAATTTCAAGGAAACTCTCTACTCCAGTTTTAAATTATAGGATCAGTGTAAAATAAAAGTGTGGGGGACTGGCACGAAAGAAAGAACATCTGGAGATTAAATTAATTTAAATGAGATGTGCGCTTATATTAACTATTCACCATAAAGTAATCTGTGTGTGTATTAAAATAGAACTTTGTGCTATAATATGCTATAAGTTTAAGGATCTGCTTATTTTTAAAAACCCCTCTAAGTTTTCCTAGCTGTGCCACCGAACACAGTCATCTCATCAGTTTAACCGGAAAACAAACCCTCAAATTAAATGATGTAATAAAAATTAAATGATGTAATAAAATCTAGACACAGAATATGGAAATATATAAATTTACAATATAATGTCATGAAAATTAAAGCCAGCAAAGTACAAATAACAATAAATGCTTTTCACAACACAGTAGAATTTGCACAATTTTGCTGCTTCATTAAAGAAAAAAGACCCACTATATATATATTTCCGCTCACATAATAAAGAAAATCGAATCAGAAGACTGTGGTGGCTGATTATAATTAAAGACGTACAACACGCTATCCCCAGCACAAAGCTCTCCCAACTTAGACCCGGCCCAACCTAAGCACTCCGCTGGAGGGCGTTCAAGGCTAAAAAACAGTTAAGAGGACCCGGATTGTGCAGATGGAGCTGGGTAAATGTTGTAAAAGCATTTCTTTCTTTATTTAGAGAAAATCCAGCACACCCAGGTACCATTTGTGACTCTTGCTACGCAAATACGTAAGCGAGTGGTTGTCCCTGAGAATTTCTGCAGAAAACAAAGACCTCATGTTCACATGTGCTGGCTGATGATGTTTATGTCAGAAGTGTCTGGGAACCTGATTTTTAGCAGATAACTGAGTATTTTGGGAGAAAAATCAATGAAGAAGCAGAAACCAAACGATCAAGGAATTTTAGGAACGCAAGCAGAGCTCCTAAGCTAACTTGGACCTTGGAGCACTCAGTGAATTGTGAACCAGGCGGCAGCTGTCGAACAGCCCAGGCCCGGACGGAGCGCAGATGGAAAACAGAAAGGAGGTTTTTCCTCAAACTCCGATTGCTTTGAGACAGCGCAAACCCTCACAGCATCTGCCAGTAACTTCTGGAACTGGCCGTGCGGGTGTTTGCAGCTCAGGATAATTTAAAAATCCGTCCCCCCCACCCTGCCCTACCTTCTCCATCGTGAGCTGTTTGAAGACGGGGTAATATTTGTGCAACCGCAGCTTCCTGAGCCAGTCCAAGATGCCGTTTTGCTCCTGTGTCTGAGGGGTCTGGGCACTGGAAGACATCAGCATGGGCGAAGCGGAGGAGTCCATCTGGGCACGGTAAGCCAGCGGCGAGCCGGCACCTCCGGCGTGGGAGCAGTGGGGCAGCGCGGCCGAGTGCTGAACGTGGTTCTGAGAAGCCTGAATGCCGGCCACGCCACAGATAGGCCTGAAAAATAGCAAAGTAATTCCATTTAGCATGCTGAAGGTGCCATCACCTGCTGCTTAGCTACTATGGCCGCACCAATCTTCCAGGAGTTGTGGTGAAACCTGCGCTGTTTGATCCGCGGGGCAGATTTGCGCCGGCTGCGGCAAACAGGAAACCTCGTCTTCAGCTTAAGCAGCGGTTTCCTTCTATAATCACAAGATAATATATGTTCTACTACCTCTCTGTGATTTAAAAAAGGTTTAGAGAGAACAGCCGTAGTTGAGCTTTGCATTATTAAAAAGAAGCCCAGATATAATCCTGCAGAATTTTATTTTTTTTTTTACACACGGAAGTGGCGAAACAACCCACAAGGTCAGCTCCTTGGAGCACTCTGGTTTTTGGGGAGAAAATGAAAACTGCCTCTTTAGAGAAGGAGTTCTGAGTTTGTTAAATCCTAACAAAAGGGAAGAGAATTTCTTTCCACCTTTCTTTTCCCAGGGCTGACTTCTACCTCCCATGGAAGAGGTTTCCTTCATCACTGTGGAAGGAAAACCTCTGTGGTACAAGGAAACATTCAAGAGAAAAAAAACCACCCTTTCAGAGATGCTTCTAGTCCCCCTTCACCTTCGAAGACTTACACTAGGGATGACCAGATCTGTGCCCGCAACTGGGATGATCATTATTCCTTTTAAATATGTGATTGAGCCCATTACAACTTGACACAGTAGTTACAGCTTTAAATATTTCGAGAAATGCTGCTCAGAACAGCTGTTCCAAAAGTTGAACTCTATTTTCTGTTTCCAGTAACAATATCGTGTCCTATTCTGACTTGCAAACCACCTGTCACCTCAGTTCTGTTGTCTGTGCAGCCAACTCCCTGCAAAATTTTTCTTTGAGCGCTTAGACTGAGCTCTGCAGTTATGAATACGTGTTTTTCTTAAGAATATACAAACACTAGCAATGCTCGTAGTACCTCACATGGATGTTCTCACCATTTCTGCTTTGGGCAGACCACAGGTTAAGGGTAGAAATTCTTAAAATCTTCTGCAGATGAGTATGAAAGTGTAGATGCAAATAAATCCCCAAAGAGAGAGAGAATTCCCTAGGTCATGGGGCTTTACAATTAACCGCAACAAAGGTAAAGGCACTAAATATTTCACCTTCCAGATGTTCCCAGCGTAGTTCCTACTTTGTAAAGGGAGGGGTTGCCAGGACCTAAAAAAACAGGGAACAGAAGTTAGGAACGGCGTCAAGTTCAGGAAATGGGCATCACCAGTACAAAAAAAAAATCATTTTTCAACTTTACTGAAACTTACTTGAGCTCTGAAGTTGCTGTGAAGGAGATGAAGCGCTGAAGAACTTTCGAACGTGGTCGTTTTTCACCACGTGGGAAGGTAACGGTGCCAAATACCTGCATGTTCATCAGAAACAAACCCCCCACCCATGCTGTTAGATTTTGTTTGCAGCCGCCTATGATTGTAGATTGTACAGGACATTCTGAAAGTGAATTGGAAATTTTGGATCTGAACCAGGAAAGGTCTTTCTAAGAGACTTCAGAACACCAAGAAATTCTGAATCAAACTAGACCTGGAACACGTGGATATTCTGATCCTAAAGGCTACTTAAACACATTCCCATTGGGCTGCTTTCGCTCTGTTTAGCCTTTCAGTAAATCCCAAAGACCATAAAATCTAGATGGATCTGTTATTTAATTTTCTCCTCTTGGAGATAAACAGCAGATGCAGAGCCTGGCGGCGTAAGGGAAAAGGCTCTACAACTTAGGTCACGTTTTCCCTGTGATTGCTGCCTCTTTTTTGGGGAAAAAACATGGCAATCTCCTAAACCTTTGCAATATATAAAGCAAGTTCTCTACCATGACTAAAACTTCTCGTTGCCATGCAAACTCGACTGCCTTTTGCCAAACCTTCTGTAGATTTGAAAACGTTAACGGAAAATTCTTAAAAAAAAAAAGAGGGCTTTTTTGACCACATCTTCATCATTTTTTTAAGTTTTTGAGTAAAAATAATATTCAACTACACATGCACACGTGGAAAAACCACAGTTTGTTCCTGAATTTTTCCAATATGCAGCACTTAACAGCTTCTCTCTCTGCTCCGAAGATCCAACCGTTGCTGTGTAAATGCAGATTGCTGCTCTATTAACCTAGATTTGTAGACTGTTGCTAAACAGCAACAGCAACACGCGTTCTCTCTTTCATTTAATACTTTGCATCGATAGAGACAATAGAAAATAATCAAAGTCCCTCCAATTTTCTTAGCATTTCAATATTTAGAAAGAGAACCGATGCAACCTGCCCCAGGTGATGATGGTGTTTTAGATTAAGTAGGAGATTCGTGACAACACGAGGAGGTTCTAGCTAAGGCTTCAAAAAGTTCTTTGCTGTTAACAGCAAATGAAGAAGGAGGAAATGTCAATTCTCCAAGAAGCTTAATACAGAATATTATTAGCATCTGTATTTTGGAAGAAAGAATTCCTGAAATATTCCTGTGCACTGGAGCATCAAGAAATAATGCTTACAATCAGGCTCTAATTTCCTGAAAGTAATTTAAAATATGAACACATTTCTATTTTCCGTTTCTTTCGTCCACTCGGTGAAAAAAAAGCCAAGTGTTGAGACAAAAACCCAAAGTCACAACAAAAAACCCAGCGTACCTAAGGTCCGATTCCAGGTCCATGTGGTTCCGTTCTAGGTAAAACGAATCCGGACCAGCTAGGCAAGGAATGAATTTTTCCAAGTTTTCTTCTGGATACAGCTGAGATAGCTAAAAGCGGAGAAAGATATTACAAATTATAAGCGGACCGAAGACTTGTTACTCCAACGAGATTCAAGGCACAGCAATTTAGAAGTCAAACACTTTGTGAAATTCCATCTACCCGTATCAGCTCAGCACGTTTTGAAAAATGTCACTGAACGAAATGACAGACAGGGACGAACCATCTCCCTTGGCCAAGTACTTTTTGTATTGCCTTTACCTTTGAAATAAATTCAGTCACTTCAGAGGAAGATTTGGTTACCAACGTCACTGAAGAATCAGACCACAGGACCTTAGGAAGTAAAAAAATAAATAAATTCAGTTTACTAACTATCAGCCAGGGATTTAAGTTGGGTTCCAAAAGATCGATAATAGGCATGAAACAGACGGCGAGAAAGTTTGTAACATGTGATGTCAAGAAGTAAAAACGTCTTTTGTGCACAAGTAACTATTACTCCGTCCTCCCTTGCCACCCGATTCTCGCTGTTGTTATACTTAACAACCATTCTGACCGCTTAAAAAAGCACTTTGTCATCCCCACGGACACCCAGTATTAAGGAACAGGCTGCTAAGTAATGGAAATTCTTTTTTTTTTCTTTCTTATTGCTATTGTTAAAGAGAACAGCTGGCTCGTAGGATGCGACTGTACGACCCGAACAACCCGCCACGGCACGACGGGGCCTATTTATAATTAAATCAACTCCACGGGCCACGTCAAGTCGAAGGCAGCAGCAAAACCTCCGAAAGAAAACTCGGGGCTGCTGCTCAAGCTTCGTTCTTTAGGCACCACCTCTTATACACCCTAAGAAAAGGAAACGGTTTGGTATCTCTTCCCATAGGCTTTCTGCATTAGGTCATCACATCCTTCAATCCGGAGATGACGAGTTTAGCTGAGCCAAAAGTCAAAAATACGAGCTCGGCCAACGTTAAGTCCCTTCAGGCTTCAGGTATCCAGTCAGGGAGTTTGGATTCGTGGCGGTTCTGCACGGGGAGAAGGTGGTTTTACACGTCGAAGGAGCAGGAGGCCATCTTCTCGCCCAACATCAGTTTCAGTGACAACCAAAAACATACACAAAGATTTTTCCAGCCGTCCCAATGCTGCCAAAAAGACTGGCGAGAGTTATTTCAAAATACGTTACATAATGGAGGAATTTCCTCTCTGCAGAGCTGTTGCACAAAAAGTAAGGAAAAGAACAAAAAAAGAAAGAAAATAAGAAAGAAAACTTAATCTGTTTCTAGTTTTACAAAGCCTGTGGGGTTTTTTGTTGAGGTGGTTTTTTAGAAGTTTGTGATAAATTTTTCTTTAGATTCATGAACAGCTCCAGAAAATTTCCTTTCTAGTTTTGGAACAACCCGACATGTGTTATGACTTAGGTTTTGCTAACTTCTTCCAATTTGCAATACTTCTGAAACAATAATGTGAGCAGTAAACGCAGGGAACAAGAGCGTC